AAATGAAAGGTCTCCAGTGGCCCCAGCTAGAAAAAGTAACTGGTAGAGTCAGAACTTGGACATGCATTGGACAAATTCAGTGTCTTCCTTCTGACTATATTCTTTCTAGCACGTTGTTACTACGTTACTCCATGAATGACTAGCAGTAGATTCCCCTCTTATCCAAGTAAAGGTAACAATTTGGCTATGTCGCTGACACTGAGGCCAAACAAAGGTCTCCAGTAAGAAAGAAAATAAATACGTTAATCAAGTAAAATTCTGTTTCTATTTCAAAGCAAAACAGTGTCCCATTTGCTTGATTGAAAGCCTGTACCTTGCTCAGAACCATTAGTGATCGTTAAGGCCTGATTCTTTCTTGAGTGTAAGGACTGAATTTCATGTCTTCAATTTCAAAACTGGAAACCAAACTGAAGTCGTTATTTATATTCACACCTCCTGAAAAGCCAGAAGACTTTGGTTAAAGAATTCAAAAAATGGACTTATAAATTGTCATGTAAGTGGGAAGGAAAGATTAATTTTCCTTCTCTGTTTATGAGAACTGACCACTAACAGTTTGGGGAAAGCGTGCCCTCGCTCAGTACGTCCTCATGTAAATTGGGTTATCAGATTATCCGGCTTAATTTAAGGGAGTTCGCAAGTTTCTGTACAGAACAGCTGTAAAATGACACGTGTTTCTTTTTCTCTAACTTAATAGTCTCTTATTCCCTGTTAGCAAGTGGAAAAATAGGTTCAGAAAACACCGATTCAGATTTCATCTCTGCATTGATACATGGTGAGTCATCTGAACTATCCCCAGTCCACCCTAAGCACTGTATAAAGAAGGGAACAGACTCCTACTTGGATGAATTTTTGGCCAAGCATTGGTTAACTCACCCCAGTCACCCCTCTGTGTTCGTTCCAGGACCCCCCACACAGATGCCAGAATTCACAGATGCTCCAATCCCTTATAAAAAATGGTGTGGTATTTGCATATAACCTACACACATCCCCCCATATACTTTTAATCATTTCTAGATTACTTATGATACCTAATACAGTGTAAATTCTATGCACATAGTTGTAAATACAATGTAAATGCTACGTAAATAGTTGCTGGCATGAGACAAATTCAAGTTCAATTTTTGGAAATTTCTGCAGTTTTTTCCCTAATATTTTCTACCTCTGGTTGGTCGAATCAGCTGAATGAAAACCCTCAGAGGAGGAGGGTTGACTGCATTAACTTGCTGGAGCTTAGTTGTTACTGAATATAATGAAATTGGCCAGTGGCTGAAAAACTACTTACTAAGTGTGGGAACCGGTTTATCTACGGAAGCTGCACTCTCTGCCTCCAGGAACGTGATCTCAGATGTGACACGTACTTGTCAACTGAATTTTGTCCTTGGGCTCACCAGGTAACGTCTTGCCCAAACTGGGATGCTTTGCAGAGGAAGAGGGTTGCCCTTACCGTTTTTCTACGACAAACCTGGGCTAGCCTGGCATGACCAGTCTTTACTCACAACCCTTCTGACAGCGAACATGTGGGTTTTTCCCACGCCAACAACTATTCTCCGATTTTCCAGCCACAGAGCACCTTACAGGTCAACTCAACCCCAGAACTGTGTACCTAGAGTTACGGTCCGACCCCCAGGCTGAGGGCTCGGGTCCACAACACTGCCCCCACTTCCGGCACCATTTGCAAGCCTTCCGTCTGGCGTGGCTGCAAATTTGCGGGTTCTAGTCTCCCTCCCCTTTCGGGTTCGATAGTTTGCTACATGGGCTAACAGACTAAGGGGGGCACTTTTCTCAGTTACCACCCCTGGTTTACTGTAAAAGACACAAGGGAACAGCCAGATGAAGAGGGACCCGGAGCAGGGGTAGGGTTCCAGACCCCATGAAGTGGGGGTGTGCCATCCTCCCGGCGTGTGGGTGCTTCCCTAGCCTGGAGGCTCTCTGAACCCCGTTGTTTAGGGGTTTCCATGGTGACCTCACCACACAGGCAGGGCTGATTAAGTCACTGGCCATTGGTAGTTGAACTAAATCTCCAGCCCGTCTCCTCGCCCCGGAGGTCAGGGATGGGATGAAAACCCTCTCACACTCCTTCATCTTTCTGGGGACCAGCCCTGCCCACGAACTGTCTAGGGGCCCCACCACCAGTCAGCTCATTAGCACACAGAGGCACTCCAAAGGTTCTCAGATCCCTGTGCCGAGAGCCAGGGACAAAGACCAAAATTTTGTTTTTGACTCTTGGAACCTGAGATGTGAAGTCACGGCTTCCAGTCCTGCCGAGAGCAGGGGTTATCAGTGTGGTCCCCAGTGCCTCAGCTGGAAATGGAAGTCCTCAGGCCCCCCCACCCCCCAGCCCGCCGAGTCAGAGGCTCCAGACGGGCCAGAATCCTGTGGTTTAACTTACGAGAGGGTTCAGGTGAGCACTGGAGTCCGAGGGCCACTGAGCACAGGGATTCGGAGGCGTGTGTGAGTCTGACTTAAAGGGATGTGAAGTCCTCTGCCAGGTGTGTTGGGAGTGGCCGTGAGGACTGCGCTCCAGGTAGAGAGCCAGCCTGTGGATGGGCCCAAGGGGTCAGAGGACCAGGGTGGAGGCCAGCAGGAGAGGGACACAATGGGGCTGGAGGACAAGGCTAGGACGTGTGGAGTTTAAAGAGAAAAGCAAGACCACAGACCCCTGGGCACGGGGCCTGGGGGAAGCCTGCTCTGAAATGGATGTCTGTGTACTGGGTACTCGTTAGACAGCCGGGTCTGTGGTTCCAGGATGTAGCCTGGCGACACAGGGCAGGAGGCTTTGGCGGGTCAGACATCCACCCTGTACGGTCAGTGTGAGGCCCAGGAAAGCACTTCCGGGGAAACAGGCTGAGAAGAACCAGTGCAAGGCTTGGAGCGTGAGACACGGGGCACCTCCTCCAGTGCCCGTCACTCCGTGCTCGTACCCGTTCTGTGTGTGACGTGGTGACAGGGCACACGGCTGCCTCGGTACTGGGTGGAGGACTCTGGGACAGACTGATTTCCAGGACATGCTTCCTTTTGCGGTGAAGCTCAGCAGGAAGCATCAGTGGCCGCAGTGCCTGGCGTGGCTCCCGCCCTCCGCAACTCCCCAGGAGAGCTGTGGCCGCCAGGGCTCCATGGCTTTGTCTGCTGCCCGCATCCCACACGAGTCACCGAGCCTCCTGACTTCGATTTCCCTAAGTCTGTGTATTAAAGCAGGTGCTGGGGCTGTGATCTTAGCAGAGCTCTGAAATGTTTGTTTTCATTTATGATTTTTCTGCCTCGTGGGACCGACTTTCCTTTTGACTTTCTTCTTGCGGCTGTTCAGGGGCATTCGCTCTACATGACTTAAATCTTGTTCTTTTGTAGAAATACTCACATCAAAAGTCTCAACACATGTAAGTAAATGTTCTTATGTTTCTGCAGAAGCATCCCATGGCCTTTATCAAAGGCATTTTTAACAAGCCCTTCCTGATGAGAGATCATTAAAATTGGGACAGTATAGTTGCAAATTCACACAGGAGAGCACTCAGTAAAAACCGTCTAACTGCGTTGAGATGTGATGGTGTCAAGTTGGCAGGGAGCTGAATCACTGGACAAGACCACGAGGGTCCTCTGTCACCTCCAGTGTCCCCCATCAGCGCCCACGGGGCTGGACCCCAGCAGGAATGGTCCAGCTCAGACACATGAGCTCTGTGCTTGGGACCCGGGAGTTCTCCTCTCCTCCTGCTGCTCGAGAAACCTGATTCTCGAGAGAAGCTAATTTTCCCCACTCACGTGCCTCATTCCTTTTGACAAAGCAAAGCCAAACGTCAGGCTTGCTTCCACGCACGTTTTAGGGACGTGTCATTTTCCTTAAGCAAAGAAGGACTTGGCTTCTTATGGAACTGAGGTTAGAGACTGTTACACCTGAAGCCACGTCTGCTGCTCTGGAACCGTGTCTCGGGTCCCTTCCTTTGTGAAGAGGCCTCTGGTCGCCTACCTCAGGGGGACCGGGGTGGCACCCGGTCCTTCTGAGACGTGCGGCTCGGGCTGAGGTGAGGAGGGAGACCCGGGCGGGCCATGCGGACAGTGGACCTCCATCTGTTTTCCGAGAACAGTGATGAAATCGTTTTTAATCTTAATATGAATTGTGTTCATTTAAAATCAACACCGGTTTGGTTCTTTTTCTGAGCGCACCATTCAACGGTATTACGCACGTTCACATTGGTATGCAGCCATCACCACCCCATCTCTAAATCTTCTTCATCTTCCCAGGCTGAAACTCTGTGCCCACGGAACACTAACTCCCCATCCTCCCTGCGCCAGGCCCTGGCAGGCAGCTTCCTACTTTCTGCCTCTACGGTTCTGACTATTCTAGGTGCCTCTTGTTTGGTCAGTTTGATGCCCTGAAAGATGGAGCACATTTAGGGACATTCAGAAAGCCTGAACAGCACTGGGAGGCAGAGGAAGGCTGGGGATCAGAACAGCTTCCTTTTCCACTGACCTCATGGGGTGCGACGCCTAAGTCATCACGCATTCCCAGTCGGCTGCGCCCGCGGTGGGGTTTTGCTCTGTGAAGTCTCTGGTGGTGAAGAGCTTATCACCCTGTTGCCTGTGTTCCTTTCTGTTTTATTCTTGTCCGTTCCCCGCTGCTACCTCTCAAATGGAAACACAAGTGAGTGTACTTAGTATTGTGTTTGTTTGAGAAACGACGGGTGTTCCCAACTCTAGAAACAACAGAAAAGCAATAGACGGCTTCATCAAATCTACGCTGGCACCAAAAGCAAGACATGTGTTTAAAGATGTTAAAATGTAGGGGGAAGGTACCAGCCGCCTTAGAACTGATGAAACTCACGGGTAAACATCGCCCAGACAGCTCAGAAAGGCAGACTGTCAGTGGTCAGCCCCGTGGCTAGCACAGGGGCCTGGAAACACGGCAGGTTTTCCAAAATAGAGGTTTCATTAGCTCTCCGCCTGCCTTTCCCCGGGGGGCGCGTTCCACGTTTGTGAGCCTTTGCTGAGCACCCCACTGTCTCTCACAGGGCACATGACCACGCGAGGAGGCTGCTACAGAGACCTGAGGTTCCCCGTGAACGCGTCCTTCTGCAGCCCCGACACCCGGCCTGCCGCGGGGCTCACGCCCTGCAAAGTGTCTGCCTGCCCCCCCAGGTGAGCGCGCCGGCTTCCTCCGAACGCGCGTCGGAGCTTTGCAGGCATAACGCCGAGTCCTCGGTGCTCCGCAGCCTGGGGCGTGGGAGCGCGCAGCCCGGCCAGGCGATCCGTAACCAGGGCCGCGGGCCCCGGGGGCCAGGCGGGGGCCCGGCAGCCAGCGAACCCGGCCAGCGAGGCGGAGGCTCTCTGCGGGCGGCGCCGTGCTGGGTCCCTGCAGGCGGCACCCGGGCCGCGCGCGCGCTCAGCCTCCCGCCCCTCCGCTGTTTCCTTTTCTTGCTGAGTGACACGTGTCGCAAGAACCCGCTCGCGGGGCCGCCCCGGCGGCGGGGGAGCCGTGGACACGGCGCGCGAGCCCGGCCGCGGAAGGCAGGTGTCACCCCGCTCACCTGGCGTCGGGCCTGCCGCCCCTGCATGTTCCTAAATGAAGCGCAGGTTCCCCGAGACGGGGATGGGGAAGGACCCCGAGGGGGGCCGTGGTCCGGCCCTGCCCTCGGCAGCCCTCACGCCCTGGCGCGTCCTAGTCTCCCCGCCTCTCGCCGGCTTCGTGTCCACAGAGGGGTTGGGGGTCACCCATCGCGGTTACAGAATGGAAGTCTCACTCCAGCCAGACCCTGCAGACGGCCACTCATCACCATCCATGTGACCGCGCCCGTCTTGATTCCAAAGAGCCAGGAGCGCTGGCTTTGCTGAGCCGCTCAGAAGCGCCATGCCCACTGCCTTTCCCGAGACGGTGAAACCCAGGCGGGTGGGAGGCTTTGCCTCCCGTCGCTCTGAGCTGCGTGCGTCCCTGGATGGACATGGAGATCACGGACCAGCATCTGAGGGGCTGGGACCTTGCCCCCAGCACTAGGAGAGGGAGGGCCTCCCTGGAAGATCCGTCGTCCCTCAGAAGCTGGGGACCGGCCACCTTATACGGCCAGTGGCCCTGACTCAGCTGGTTCCTCGCCACACGCCCTGCAGCGTGACAGTGAGAGAGACAAGGGTCAAAACTTGCATAAGGAATCCAGTGCCTCAGGCCCCTCATCCATCACCCCGCAGGCCTTGGAGCCTGCCTGGGAATTCTTCCTGCCTGAAGGAGGCTCCTGGGGTTAATGCAGCCTCTGGCCCAGGTCTCACGTCTGTCAGAGACCCTGCAGCTGGTCCAGGAGCCCCCAAGGGGTGTGCAGGGCTGCACAGACAGGAGCACGGCCACCATAGGCCTCCTTCGCCTAAAGCGACACACCAAGTGCCCACCCTCCAGGACGGTTCAGGAAGTGAACCCCGCGGTTGGCACAGCACCATTTCTGAGAAAATGAGCCTCCTGCCCGAAGGAAATGAGGGGCCAGACAGGCGGGGCTCCCCCAGGCTGCTGAGCTGTTGCACCAACGTGACCTCCTCTGCCCAGTGTTCCAGGTGACACAGTGTGTGCATCGCTGTGACCTCTGATCGCATCTCCAGGGAGCCTTGCCGAGCAGGATGTCAGTGCTGCCTGCACTGAAGTTCTCTTTGTACTGAGTTCTTGCCAAGGCAGCGCAGTCTAGGGCACCTCCAGGAACCCAGTTAAGCATGCTGAGAAGTAGAAAAACCTCACTAACTTAGACTAAGAGGGGTGTGTGTGTGTGTGTGTGGCTTTTACGTGCAGGAGAAACTGAATTGAGTGGCCCCGTGTGAGAGTGAATCTGTCAGCACGTGAAAGATCAGGCCAACCGGGAGTATTTGGTGCTCGCGTGGCACCCTGCCAGCTGGGCGTGGTGATGCCTTTTACAGTGAACACGAGGGAACGCTCACTCCACCCCCAGACTAAGTCACCCACCCCTGGGCTCCCCACTTTGTGATTTTAAGCATCACACAACTCGCATGTGACGTGTTGGCTGGGACACCCCTGAACAGCCTCTGTGCATCCGCCAGACATGCAGGGTCCCCCTGGGATGCAGGAGAGGACAGGGTCAGCCCCTCCGCCTTCCTCTCCAGGGCCGCCTCCTGGTGATGGGCCCTCAGGGAGGGCATCCAAGGGGCTGCCCAGCTGCTGCCTGTGCACTGTCACTCCCGATGACAGGCCACGGCTACAGTCCCGTCCTGTGTAGGTATCAGAACACCACCTGCCACTGAGGTCAGTGAGGGAACTCCAGCAACCCTTATGTGGCTGCATCAAGTTGCTGTTACCCTGGACCATTTTCCATGACTTCCATCATCATCTCTGTGTCCATTTAGATCATCTTTGTTCCTGGTGCAGAATTTTCATCCTTACGATTCTGGAAAAATCTCTCCAAGGTCAGATCTTAGTTTTGTCTCCTGACATATCCCAAGACAAACGCAGTGTCTGGCTCTCAGTAAATGCTTGTAGAATCGGGGGATGAGCCAGGGTGACACAGGTGAGGGGCGTGGCCCCGGGAAAGTGGCTTCACCTTCCATGCCTCACTTTCCTCAGCTGTAAGATGACAAAGAGAAAACGTGTGCAGACACGTGCCCTGAGCATGAGGTTCGTGGCTCCACTCCCCCTGGGCAGGTGCCCGTAGGTGAGCCTGACCGGTCCTATTTGAAATGCTGCCCCGAAAAATAAGATGCTCCTTAATTGACTGTCCCTTAATACACAGTCAGCCTTGCTGGTATGTTTCCACCGTCTCTCATGCAAAGGACCCGCCTGGGGCCTGCCTCCTTCAAGGGCTGCCCCAGGAGCAGCAGTGTTTGTATTATTCTTTTTGGTATTGAAGCAGAGTTGATCTACAGTGTGGCGCTGGTTTCTGGTGTACAGCACAGTGATTCAGTCACACATGTATATGTTCTTTTTCTGCATTGTAGCTTTAGAAACTGAGGTCCCATCAGACGCTCAGTCGCCACGGCCACCTGTGGTCATTAACACCCCGTGAGCTCCCTGGCCATCAAGGATGGCCAGGACGGGCCCCTCCACGTGCATTTTCTCTCTCTGGTCGTTGTTAACAGACCCCCGACACTCACTCTTGCACACTCCCACACTCGCACCTACGCACATTCTCTCACTCCCTCGCACACGGATGCCCAGTTGGATGCTCCCCGTTCTTCCTCCCAGCTCATCGCCCAGCCAGTGTGATGCGAGCAGGAGTGATGCAGGTGCCTTCCATGCAGGTCCCGCAAAGGCTCTTTCTCCTCCTGTGTCTGTCCCGTCTCCGTGGGCGACAGCAGAGCTGGCATTAGTGGCAGCTCCAGCCACGTGGCCAGAGCACGGGAGTCCCAAGAGGGAGGCAGCAGAATCCCTAACACCTCCTGGGACAGCTCTGCCCCACCCGCCCCCAGCTGCCTCCAGCCCAGCCTTTGGTGGGAAGGGAACAGCTTCTCCCCCGTGTTTGCGCCGTGCTTCCTTGGGCTCCCTCTCCTGCCTCCAACGTGCCACCCCTGTGAGGCCTTGGTTCCCAACGCCCCCTGCTGGCCACAGCCTCTTTGTGGTTGCAGCTCATGGGCTCCTGGACCCACACTGGAGCTGTCCTTTTGTCTCACCAGGGAGGCCCGTCTTTCCAACCCCCATTGTCCAGCCTGCTGAACCCACTTGTCAAACTCTAGTTGCCCAGAAAACCCAACCTGGCAACACCTCGCTCATCCCTCTGCTCCACGTGGGGCTCAGGAGCCAACGGCTGCCAGAAATTCACAAGCCACCTGAATGCGCAGCCACTGGCATCCATGGACGCCCAGGACAGTGGGCGGTCCTGACACCCCTCCCTGGATATCTGGTCCTTCCCAGGACAGTGCCTTTATGTCACCTCCCACCTCCTCCAGCTCCCTTCTTCTCCATCCCACACTCCCAGCCTGTGGCCTCAGGCCTCAGAGGTGGGTGTTAGACAACAGGCACCTCTCCTCCCACCCACGCCGCCTGCCACTCTCCCTGCTCGCTCTGCCTTCCCTCCTGCATGCGGGGCCAACACCTGCTTCCCCCAGAAGCCGCCCTAGTTACGTCCCGATGCCCCTTTCCCTTCGTGCTTAGGGATTCCTTGCAAGAAAGAGTTTTAAATGGGTGTCGGGTTTTCCTTAAGCTCTACTGTAAATATGCATATGTTTGTACTTTGCTAATTTTTCCTGTAAGTCCCTGTCTGGCCGGTTGTCTCTCTCACTGGGCCACCTCCACCTCCATACAGTTTGTCTCTTGGTTGTCAGGGACCCAGAGCCAATGAGGTCTCCGGGTTCTTCTCTGTCCTTTACGCTGCACTTATTCAGGTAGGACTTTACAGGTAAACTCTGTCAACAGCTTTGTGTGCTGAGAGCAAAGGTACCACTCAGGCAAAAAGATGAGTCTAGGGGACGTTGGCTCTGATGTGGGAACAGCCGGGAGAAAATGCAGTTGTGGGGCCCATGCCACCCTGCAAAGTCCAGAGGCCCCCATCTTACCCAACTCTTGGATTTATGCATCTAATATTTTTGAATATTTGCATTTCCTCTGAAAGAGGAAACTTTGGGAGACAATAAAAAGCCTGGCGGTAAAGCTAATGCCCTGCGTCCCTGCAGGGAGACTCCCAAGGAGGAGGAGGGTGGGGCCTGCCGGTTGGTTCCCAGTTCCTGCCCCTCGCTCCCCACGACCCCACCCCCACACACCCCCACTCCCACCCCCCAACTCCGCCACCCCTCCCCAGCGGGCAGAGGGGCCTCCAGGTGGAAGGAGATATCGCAGCTCCCAACCCACAACTCTTCTGCATCAGAGCCCTTTTCTGGTGCGGACTTGGTCCTCCTGGCTTGTGCCAAGGGGCCAGAGCAGCATGACGCATGCGCCAGCTCGCACCCCAGTCAAAGCTGTGGGCGGGGCTGCCACCTACCTGGGTTCAAATCCCCGCGGTAGCCAGGCCTGCCTGGCAGGTAATCCAGGCGAGGTAGGGTGAAGATTTGCTGAGGGAATCCACGGAGAAGCCCTCCACGCAGTACACATGCTTTTAATTTTGGCTGTAAAAGGAGAAACAGGTCACGTTAGTCATTGATTCAGTCTGTGAAGCAAACTGTCAATGACAGACACAAGGATGAACCGATATTATATGCATCCATCCTCGTGGGTCGTCCTTTTA